TACCCAATATTCTCTGGGTCATCCATACACTCTGCAAAAGAAAAACTACAAGGCTGTGACAACTCAATCATGTGTGTGTGTGTGTGTGTGTGTGTGTGTGTGTGTGTGTGTGTGACTTATACTCAAAGATCCACTGCTTGAGACTCAGCCCGAAACAATCACTCTTCATCCCACTTCCATTTCCTAGGTAACCAGGACAACCAGATAAAGGAACTAACTACACTTGCAGAGGAAACTCAATATCACTTTCTCCCTGCCTGATACATTCCCTCTTGCCTACACTGTAGAATCATGAGAAGGACTGGAATGATTTGACAGGAAAAAAAAAATGATACTGTTACTAAACAGTATTAAAGTACAGTCTGTCCTCATTTAATGTCATCGATAGGTTCTTAGAAACTCGGACTAAGCAAAACAACATATAACGAAACCAATTTTACCATAAGCTTGATATAAACAAACAAGGGTTAAGTTCCTATGGCCTATTTCTGGTCTCATAAATGTCACCAAACTTCTAAATAAAGACCCCCAAACACTTTCAATATTAAACACTGAAAATGTGAGCTATACACACATTTAAAAAAATATTAATAAACACAAGTAAGAAAATTCTTTTCTACTTATTTCAGATCAGGGTCGCAGGTGGCCAGAGCTTATCCCGGCAGCTCAGGATGCAAGGCGGGACCCCACACAGGACAGGATGCCCTTCCATCTCAGGGCCATTCACACACACACACTCACTCAGACTGGGACAACTGAGACACGCCAATTCACCTAACTTGCACATCGCTGGGATGTGGGAGGAAACTGGAGTCCTCAGAGAAAAACCCACGCTGACATGGGGAGAACGTGCAAACCACACAGACAGTGGCCCTGGCTGGCATCTTTTATCCTTATCAACAGCTATAACAAAATGATGTTGAACAAAACAACATTGTTCGAGGACTGCTATATAATATTTTTAGTCACCCTCATGGTTGGCTGAGACATTCTGAGTAACACAAGGCCCCTGCTAACAAATTATGAAAGGTTTCCTTTTTTAATCTGGGCAGTTATAATAATGCAGGCATGTCGACTTAAATTAAAAAGTCAGCCTGATAAATGAGTAGATGCCATTACTTGAACTTTTCTCACCACCCTACTTAAAAAAAACACACCAAACTGTTAAAGTATTATAGCTCTACCTAGAAAGTACAGACAGTTTTAAGACAGTAATGCAAACCTTTCAGCAACACATCAAGGAGGAAGCAAGGACATAGGCATCCTAAACTGAACGTCAAAAGACCCACCCCTCTCTCTTCAGCTCCTCTAAGCTCTCTAACCTTGGAGAAGACCGTGATGGAAACAGCTAACCCTCAGTTTCCAAAGACTCCATGGGCCTTCTGAAGTGTTTGGATAAAACATCTTATGCTAAGTAATTTAGTTACCTTCTCTACAAAATTTAACTCTTAACTACTGACAGCAGATGAACAACCCATATTGGGTTTCTATCCAGCAGCTGATCCCTCCTCTGCAATGGCTCTCAAGTGGATGAGCAGATCCTGAAATTAATTTCAGGCTACGAGAAAGCCTGTCTTCTTCACTTCAGCACACTCTCGGTTAGAGAAAGCTTCCCAGCTAATGACAGAACTTGCATCACTCGTTGTCTGCTGATCTGAGAACCTGAATGAAAAACAGATGTTCTACCTTCTCTTCCAGACCATGAAGAAAATGTACAGATGGAGAAAACCATCTTCCCTAAGGAAAGCCTGCTGGACAGCAAGGCAGAGTTCAGGTGTCCCAGAATTTAAATCTGTAGCTTATCCCAGTGCTGCTCCCCCCGGTGTTGGTAATTTTAAGTTCATCCACTGATCTTCAATCTCTTAATATGCGATTAACTTCAAATAGGGCTGATGTTCAATTGTTTACTAAAACTCTCTCCTTTTGTTCATTGTTGGTATGTCTTAAACTGATGGCCAAGAGGCAGTTCTTAACAGATCTTGAACAAAATTAAAGCAAATACATAATTTTAGGAGTAAGATACTTTCCTTTAAAACCCAATGGAGTGGCACATTGAACAAGGAATCCGGAAAGTGACCACTACGACTATGGTATATGTGGCTTACGCTTTTCATCTGAACCTGTAGCCCAGAAAAACAGGAATTCCTTTCAATCTGGAGCCGGCCTAGCTCTCATTACTTCTAAATTAAAAAGGCCAAAAGTCAGAGTTGTTGTTATTACTAGCACATTTCTTTAGCACTTAGTACATTCCAAGTATTGCACTAAGGTTCTCTGATACTTTATCTTATTTATTTCTCACAATAACCGTGTGACGATGGAGGTGTGTCCCCTATTTTACAGATGTTTTTTACAGATGAGGAGCTAAGACTCAAGAGAGGTGAAGTAGTGACCTAAATCAAATGGCTAATTACTGGCTGAGCTGGGACTCAAACCCAGATAGGACTTACTGTACAAACTCTTATGGTGAATTGGGTCCCTTCATGCTCATAATCATTGTCAATCTCCTATAATTAAAGGTACTTGTGATAGTAAAATCGATGGTCACATTCATAAGGTCATATGCACATGTAACCTTGACAGTGCAGAGTTGTGCTATCCGTTACTATAGGCACTAGCTATGTGTGGCTATTTAAATTTAAATTAACTAAAGTCAGAAATACGGTTTCTCAAGCACATTAGCCCCACTTCAGGTGCTCAGTAAGCTACATGAGGCTAGAGGCTATCACATTGGTCAGGTTATAGAGAGGTTGTGAGCGAAGGCTTTCCTACTCTGGTTTTAATCCAAGCAGTAATCTGGGGCAAATTATTTCATTTCTCTAAGCCTGACTTTCATCAGTTCTAATATGGGAATAATAATAATCTCTACATCATGGGTTTGTTATCTTGATTAAATGCGATTACATGTAAAATGTTTAGTACAGGGCCTGGCACTAATACCTTCATGGACATTACCTGTCACTTTTGTTCCTATTTGTTATTAGTCATAGTAAAGGACACTTGGGAAAGATCCTGGATTTATATTTCTAATAACAACTCTGACTTTGGCCTTTTAAATTTAGAAGTAATGAGTTTCAATTCTCAAAAAAAAAAAAGGCTACAATTTAAGTTATTAGTAACGCCTACCTTATAAATGTACTTTTGAGTTAAAATTTTTTATTTTGAAATTAATTCACATTTACCAAGTTGCAAATATAGTACAAAGAACTCTTGTATGCTCTTTAACTAGATTCCCCAGTTTTCAACATCTTGCCATATTTGTTTTGTTATTCTATCTATACATTGTATTTTTTTTTCTGAACTATATTTGACCTTTTATTCCTTAATACTCAAGTGTATTAGGTCTCCTAAGAAGGATATTCTCTTATATAACAACAGTACAATTATTAAATTCAGGAAAGGTAACACTGATACAATACTTGAATCTATAGGCCCCATTCCAATTTTGCCTTTTATCCCCATAATGTACTTTATAGTAATGCCCCCCTCCCGACCCAAGAGGATCCAGTTTAGGGTCACATGTGGCTTGTGAGTCTCCTTGAATCGGGAATGGCTCCTCAGCCTCTCTTTGTCTTTCATGACTAACATTTTTGAAGAGCATAGGCCAGTTATTTTCTAGAATGTCACTCAATTTGCTTTTCTCCAAAGCTTCCTCATGATTAGATTCAGGTTATGTGCACTTTGGGTTAAAATACTTCCTCAGTTGTGCTGTGTTTGTTCTCAGGTTATCACATTTAGAGGCCCACAATGCCCATCTGCACCATATTGATGTTAATTTGGATCCTTTGATAAGGGTATTGCTGGGTATCTCCACTACATAGAGTTATTGGTTTTTCTTTTGTCATTAATAAGTAATTTAAGACTATGAAAATGTACTGTTCCTCAAACTCCCTCCACCTCCAGGAGATTTAGCATCTACTGATGAGTCCTGCATAATCAGCTTTTATTATGATGGCTGCAAAATGATGATTTTCTAACTCCATCTTTCCTTCTACATTTATCGACTGCCATGCTACTATAAACAGGAGCTTTCCTTTCTACCCTTTTTACTCATTTCTTTAGCTACTTATTAACTGTATTGACTATGGGTTCTTACTTTACTTAATGGGTACCACTTAGTTTTTAAAAGTACTTTTCAAATACAAGTGGCAAGAAACTACAGATCTGGATCAAGAGCAATTAATTGGAAGAATTTATGCATTATGCCAGAGAAAGACTATTAACGGAGGCCTCTTCTTGTTTTGAATGCTTGTGGGCAAGTGAGGTCTCAAAGCCTGAGGCTCTGCGGTTGAGGACATTAGCACGTAGCTCTAGCAATAGACAGTGTGAGCTATCACTGTGAAGTGCAGTGTTGCTCATCATCAGACATGATATCATACCCCAAAAATTCCATCCAAACAACCCATCAATTTCTCCACAACTAGCAAACTTGAATGTTCTGGCAAACTTAAAAGGACATGATTTACAAATACTAGGTAATATTTGGATCTTTCCACAAGAGCTGGGTTCCAGCTTTTTTATAAAATACAAATGTTTTCATTTTGGAGCTCACTGTGTCACTTTCTCAACAAACAGATCTTCATATCAGAAATGTGGCCTGTGTTATATACAAATAGAATGGGTTTGCACGCCATTTATTTTGTGGTCACAGACCACACACCCAATGGCTATTTATAATATTTACATTGCTCATGATGCCACAAAGGGGACCTCAGAGCTGAGACCAAAGCTCAGGCCACACAGAATATGGCTGCAGGTCTTGCTCTGACGTGCAAACTGGGCCTGACTCTCCATCCGCAGAAGAAGGCATGTGAGTGGTGTTTGTTTTCTGTGAAAGCTTATCTATGCCATCCAAGTATCACTAAAAGCATACTGCAAATTTAACACACTGTGGAGTCTGGTATTATTTCCGTGAAACGAGCCTTTTAAAAAGGGCTTGCAAAGTTTTAGGATCATTATATCCTTGTGCTAAGGATCACTGTGGGAGGGTTTCAAACACTTACCAAGAAAAGTCTGGAAACCCCGATCGCAAGCCTCTCTGTCTTCAGATGCCAAACCAGGGGCTGTGGGGAGTTGAGCAGGAACACGACAGGCTTGTGGTGAATGTGGACGGAGGAGATGGGGTTCAGGTGCAGAGTGACCTAAGAAGCAAGAGAGGGGAATCTGAGCACTGGCTTTCCATTAAAACCACTTAGCACAGCATCTGGAATACTTTTCTCAGCTCACCACTAAGAGAAGCAAGCTATAAGCTAGTTCAGATTCACAGATAAGATATATTAGGTTGAAAAAGATGACATTGCCAGTATTTGACCATTTTTTATTACAAAAATGGCTATATCATAGGGTTTAATCCACACTCATCTCAGCTAAAATATGATTCAGCTCCCAGTAATAGCAGAACACAAATAAACAGAACATGTTGTTTTCAAAGTCGGCAAAGGCAGAATAAAAGCTACCTTCCCTCAGCACTGCCTTATCCTTCAACTCAAGCGACTGAGTTGAAAACTAGAGTCCAGAGCCCTCTGAGGGCGACTCATCCTCTGATCACCGGAGAAATGACTTTCTTCTCTTCCAGGTAAGCTCCAACCTCTATAAAGAAAAGCGAGTTCTGCCAAGAAAAGTGTCGAAAGCTAAGGGAAAGGGGCTGCCAAAGGGAGCTGCCAGTGCTTTCATCATCCCAGCTATTAGCTTGGAGGGGTTTTCCAAAGAAATGAAGGACAGAAAACACACAGAATAAAACCTGATTGTATATAGCCCCTGTCAAAAAAGAAGAAGAAGAAGAAGGAGAAAAGAAAAAGACAGGGAAGAAAACCATAAGCCTGGAGAGGAAAACTATGGCCATTTGGATAGGGATCAAAGACTACTGTAGGTTACCAGTGTCACCATTAGTGCCATCAGAAAGCACCTGTGAGGAGAGCAGAAAACAGTGGGTTCAACAATGTCCTCCTGGAGCACATGAGCCAAGGTCCGTCAACATGAACATAGGAAAGCAAAACAGTAGATACAGAAATAACTGAGCAGATGCTTTCAAGTAAGCATGTCTCACGTGGCTTTCTGTACAGAGGGGTGAGGTAAGACCCAAGATCACATATTTAAACAACCTGAACTCACTAAAGAGCATCAAAAAGTGATAAGGGAGGGAACAGACAAAAAAGGGCTTTCGCTGGAGAGACACGGGCTGAGTGATACACTGGGACTAATAGTCCATCTTCAGCCATAATCCTTATGAGGATTAAATGGTCTAGATCTATGCTCTGAGTCCATACAATCAGCAGGAACAGAACACTCAAAGCTGGGCTGCTTTACATTTTCCCAGAGGCTGCTGGACTACTGTGATCCTGATGTATCTCTACCTTTTATTGTAGGGACTGCCTATGACACCAGTGTCACGTATGGCAGTATACTTGCAGGTCATTGATAATAAGGCACCAAACTGTTCTTAACTTTCAATACCCATGCCTTAGCACATGGTAGCTACTCAGCAAATGACAACTGGATATTTAATGTTCCAATTTTCAATGCCTTGAAAGTACTTTATTCTATGAATAACTTGCACTATAGTATAATATCATCTCCTTCTTTAACCCTTGAGTGTGTATGTCTCCATCTCCAGAGTAGACTGTAAATACTCAGTAGGCAAAGATGTGTCTCACATTTAATACTATGCTTAATACAGAGTAATGTTTTAAATTATTGATTTATCACAGTAAATTCATAAATTTGTGTCACCTAAAAGGTAAAAAAGGCTGCATATAGGTTCAAAGGGATTTAGCTAGCCAGTTTACAGAAAAGTGAAAAAAAAACCATGAGCAATATTAAAACTATGATGTTATTTTTGCAAGACAGCTAGGATCACTTTTATGTTTGGCATAAGGAAAAGTGCTAAAAGCAGAGTACTAATGAGCAGTATGTTAAGTACAGCTACAACAAAACGAAATGTTCCTTGGTTGTACAGACTCTACCTCACAGCATTTTGGAGATCCTAGCTGCATCTAGAAATGAACAGATTGATCGCCGCCGTAAACAAGAGCGGCTGTAGAAACAGAGCAGTGGCTAAGATTCAAACTATAGCATTAACTGAACAGAGAGACACGCACTACAGAAAGCACACACTACGGAAAATGGAGAAAGGGGAGATGAAATCATTACTAGTTCAAGGGTACCTGAAAAAAGAAACACTCTGTCACTAATAGTATGTGTCCATAAAAAGTTTCCAGATTTATTTATTTCAAAACTGTTTATTGAGCACCATAATGGCACAAAGAATTGCAAAGCACATCTATCCATACAGCGTACATCAGGTCTTTTTCTGACGATTTTCTTTGCAGCCTTCGGGCATATAATTCTTCTTGGAGTGCGTAGATAAAATAGTAATAAATATATATCTCAAATGAACAAAAATTAAAAAAAAAAACTTAGGACATGAAAAGAAAAATATGTAGGAGACAGATATTGGTGCTCCGGTCCAAAATTTTCCAGATGGTCAAAAGTGTCGAGGCCTGGCTCATACAATCAAGGAAAGATTTCTAGAAGCCACAGCTCTTAGCTTTCCTGGAAACGGCTCCCTCTTCAATATGTGGCAATGTCTGGCCAAGATGAGTCCTTGACTCTGGCACACGGGGCCCAGGCAAAGCCCCAAAACCATTTGGCAAAGAAGAATTCACACTAAGGTTGGGAAATTAAAAGAAACATACTCAATACTTTTTTTAAAAAGATCATTTGGCAGGAACAGAAAGTCCCCCAATCACCTAATCCCTCAGCAACCTTCCTCTTCTATCCTTCTTCCACTTGAATAAATCTTGCTCAAGGGAAGATAGAGAACAACCAAAAACAACCAACAAAAGAATGAAGATATAAAAGCTCCTGGAAATGTGGGGAGAACATACCTGGATGTCTCTTAAAGAATTCCTGCCTAAACCACCTAATTTCTCTCAGGCTGACAAAAAAAGAAAGAAAGAGGGAGAGGGAGAGGGGGAGGGAAGGAGGGAGGTCTAAAGGGAGAGGGAGAAGGGGTGGGGAGGGG